TCGACCGCGGTTCACGTCCCGGACCCGGTGGCTTAAAACTCATGCCGGGTGCGTGTGCGTACGTGCCCAAGATTCCAAGAGGAGAATGGAGGAGAAGGGATTGCGGCATGACCATCCCCTCTGGGGGGTGATTTCTCGCTTTCTGTCTCTATGTCTCTCTCTGTCTGGCGTGCGCACGCGCCCTAGAGCGAAAACCTCTCCAACAAAAAAAAAAGAATTTACCAATAACAGACCTACTCTTTAAGACATTCTGAAAGAAGTGCTCTACCAGGAACACTAAAGACACACATACAAAAATAAGAAAACAAAAATCAACCTAGAAAATGACCAACTTAATGCTAGGGACAAGAAATATCAATAATACTATTAAATGTTAACTTCCAAGATTTAAACAGAAAGATCGGACCATAGTAACACTGCACATTCAACAGAAGAGAGACTGAACAAAAGACTGAACTGGTGAAATAGAATTTTATGACTTTTGAGTAAAACATTATTTTTTTTTAACTATGCTTTGTTTCCCCAATTTAAGGATTTTGTTTTCTTTTGAGCTGCTGATAGGTTCAATAATTTGTTAAAATAATTCTTCTTGTTTGTTTCTTTAAATGGAAATATAAACTCTTCTTCCTTCCTCTGGAATTGGAAAATATTTGGAGTATTCTTATTTTGTGACAGAATGGTTATTTGCATAAGTTCAATAATATCTGTTGCATTGAATCAGAAAGTGGAAATATTCATTACTAGTCAAGGCTTTGACTGGAATGTCATATCTGAAGATTAACCAGAAAACTATGGAATTAAGGTAGATCTCAAGTCAACAGAAGCTCTTGGAAAGATGGCCTGGCACCTAAACAGTCCTGCCTGACAGAGAGGATTAGAGAAGCTATATGAAAGAATTCATATCATAAAATAACCTGGACATTTCCAGACCCGTATTGTAATCAGTAGAGACTGCAAAAGAGCAACCACAACCAGAGGATTATCTTGAGGAAGTCTTTGAAGGAAGAAAAAGAGACTGAGTTTTGCTATCACTGAACACTTGGTAGGCAGGGCTGAATGGACAAGGTATAAACGTGACTTGGGTGCCGAGTGCTTGCCTTTTAACAGTTTGAATAGTTGACATGTAAATATTTTCTCAAAAATATTTAAAATCATACTTTCTCTGTTGTTATAGAGTCACAAACAAAATTATAACAAATATTTTGAACATTATTTTTTAAATTCAGGTTTTGAAATTAAAAAAAAATTCTTGTTTCTTTTTAAAATTTCATTTTCTTTTATACATTCAATCACTTTATTATTTGGCTTACAAAATAGATATTTCAACAGGTGAACATTTCTCCCTAGTAAAGTTGATAAAACTACAAAATATCTTCAACAGATAATACTACATTTCTTTGTGCCATTAATGTTTTGCCTCCTTATTTTTCTTCTAAATGTCCTTCCTCAGACCCTCCTCTTTCACACACACTATATCTGGTATTTACATCTATCTACTGTGTTTCTATATCCTTTAGTGAATTAGTTTCAGTCATAGAGTACAGACACTCGGTATATATTAAGTGGGGACATATAATGCCTCTCCTTCATAGCCTGGCTTGCTTCACTCAGCAGTAAATTTTCCACTTTCATCCACTTCCAGGGTTTTTGTTTTGTTTTGTTTTGTTTTATGGCTGAATAGTATTCCACTGAGTATATGTGCCACAGTTTTTCTATCCATTCATCTGTTAAGGCATTTGGGTTGTTTCCATGACTTAGCAATTGTGAATAGTGCCGTAATAAACATCAATGTGCAAGCACTTTTCCCATTAAGTATTCTTCTGTCCTTCGGGTGTTCCAAGGAGTGGGATTGCTGGATCATATGGTAGTTCTATTTGTAGATTTTTGAGGAATCTCCAAATTGTTCTCCACAGTGGCTGGACCAATTTACACCCCCAAAGCACAGTTGACAATCCCCAAAATAGACAAGTGGGATTACATCAGACTAAGAAATTTCTGCATGGCAAAAGACACAGTAATTAGTGTGAATAGACAGCCCTCAGAATGGTAATTTATTTTTGTAAATTATGCATCAGATAAGGGACTGATAACTAGAATTCACAAGGAACTCAAGCAGCTGTTCAAAAAAAAAAAAAAAAAAGACGATAAGATGGGAGAATGAGTTGAAAAAACCACTCTCTAAAGATGACATATGAATAGCTAAAAGGCATATGAAAAAATGCTCAACATCCCTCATTGTAAGGGAAATGCAGATCAAAACAACAATTAGATACCACCTAACCCCAGTCAGAATGACTAAGATTAAAAAAACAAACAAACAAAAAATTATAAGTGCTGGTGGGAGTGTGGTGAAAGGGGAACTCTCTTACACTGCTGGTGGGAATGTAAATTGGTCCAGCCACTGTGAAGTTTTTGAAATTTTGAAAGTTGTTTATTAACTGTCAAGAACTATGGAGTATAAGCAAAATTTTTTGATATGTAAAGTAAATGTTTGTGGAAAAATATAAAAATAAATAAATAAATGATAAAAAAAAGATGGAGAGAAAAGAACTCTTAACTATTGATTTCCTTTTTATTAATTTAAACAGTCTAAAATATCTGTTAATGTTATGCAGTTATTGAAACTGCTGAAATGAGTTTTATGACAATACATTTTAAACTTTTAAGATCATGACTAATAGCAAAAATATATAAATTTTATAACATAATCTAGTAACCATATAAATATATGAAAAACTAAGTCAAGTTTCACAAAATAATACTTAGCCTTACAATGATTATAACGCATTATTCTATTTCTGTATTACTTCTTTCTCTGTTATCTTTATCCCTCCCTTGGTCTCTTTTTAAATGCTGGTCACAAGTCCAACTTGCTAAATTAATTTTAAGACACACTGAGTTGGTACCTTCTGTCTGAAAGCACTTCTGTAAGTAAAGAGAGATTTTCTAAAGAGAAAGAAATGGATGATTTTGGAATAAGGTACAGCCATTAGTTTAGGCTGCAGTGGCCAACCAAAAATTGCTGAATTCTAGACAGGCCTAGAATAAAAAGTTGAATGTGTCCACTCTGTCCATCACACAAACAAAATTATTGTTAGCAAAAAGGATTTGCTGCCAAAGAATAGTCTGAAAGCTCAGAGATGAAAAATAATTAAGTTTAAAAAAGAAGCTATCTAAGAATCTTGAAGTCAGTGATTCTAATTAAAATAAAGCCCAATGGTAACAAGAATATGTTTAGTTCATGAAATAAACATTGAGTCATATACTGCCAATCAGTATACTTTCTTATTTATATAATGTATACTTTTGTATGCAGTATTTTTATATGTAGAATATTTTATGAATAAAAAATTCATTAACTCAAAATGCAAAACTCTGATGCCCAATATTGAGATGGCAGGACTCATCATTTTTCAAGTAGGTCTTCTGTGGGGGCAGGAAAAATAGTCCAGTATAATCTCTAAAATGTGAAATAAATAAAGTAAAATACTTGCTTTTCTCTAGAGATACACTAATTTTGGCTGTTTCCATTTTAATATGGAAAGCCATGATTTAATTCTCATGAATGTTAAGAAGCTATACATGAGAAGTAAACCATGGCATTTTGGTGGCTATACTTTTTAAAATATTTTTTAAATTTCTTTTATACATTCAATCATATACATCACTTAGCTTATAAAATAAATGTTCCAACATAAATACATTTCTTACTAGCT